TAGCCAACTCTTAGGACTTAATAATTTTATACGATGGAGAGAGTATTACCTCGATAAAAATGTGCTACTGAGTAATTTTGCATATAAAGGGTCTTTTGAATGTGATTGCATTTTGGTCTGTTTACCTGCAGTTTTGGTATTAGTTTATTAGAATTCTTTTTACAGCTTTGTTCTTTTAGAAGTCGTCAGTGAAACGGAGACTACAAACAAGGGCGGTGTGATCGCGGTTGGTAACATCAGTACTGGTAGCTTTGCTGTGGCGTCAGAGACGGAGAAGTAAAATCGACAAAATCCCTTTCTCTTAGTTTCTACTTGTTCAGAGCGATGTTCAGATACTCCAGAATGGCGCCAGCGTCGCCTAATGTTGGTCCTGGCATGGAGGCTTCTCTTACCGGCGTCCTGGTAAAAGCGATGTTTGACTCTGATCAAGTGAGAACTAAGACAGAGGAGCAGCACAGATCAGAAGGGCAGGTCGAAACTGCCGTGCCGCCGCCGCGGGCTGAAGAAGAGAAGGTGGTCAACGGTACTGACATTTCTGTAATGATTGATGTTGAGTATTATTGTATATGACCGCTTTTTAGGTGATTCCAGCACGCCAGATGAAACACTGCATGCAGATGTGGATTCTCCGGAGGAGAAACATGAAACTCACAGCAATGCTGCAAACCAGATTGTGGATGAGTTAAAAACAGAAGCCGTTGGGCAGCAGCCAAGTACGACTCACGACGCTCTGTCCATCGAGGAGACCGCAGAAACAGGACGTATGCACTATTTTGTTGGCTAACAGCAACTACACGACAAATGGCACCTTTCTTATGGAGAAAGTCATGAATTTCAGATATTTGGTCATGATATTACCCCGGAATTTTCAGCCCTTATCCATGCAAATTATGCAGAGATTTATCAGCTCATGTAACAGTTGTCATGAGCAAAAAATTCAATCGTCAGAGAAAAGAGCAAACATAATAAAATTAATTTTAACAGCTGTTAAAATTATTTGAAAACGGATGTTTCAATCCGTTTAGGTGTCTTCTCTGAGTTTTGTGGAAAAAAAAGAGGAATTGTCTGAAGTTGCGTTGAGTTGTCAGTGGAAAGTTGATCCATTCAAGCACTATGCCTGTGATGGGTGGTCTGTATCATTTGTTAAGATCTGCCCCAAACGAACGACGGTTCGGATAACGTTTCCGGCAATTTGATCAGTTCATTCTTCTTGACTAGTTTTAATTGTACGATAGATCAGTAACATACATGAGTTTAGAGGCTGTAATCCTGTTGACCAGCAAGAATGAGTAGTCGGCGAAGAAAACCAAAAACAAACGCCAAAAAGATCACTCGAATGAGAGATCTGCATCCTCAATGGCCTGAGTAAACAGAATTCCCATTTTTTGTCCTCGAGCATATTATATCAATATGGTTGTTGATGGTCAGTCAGACACCCGCTCCCAGAAAAAAGGATTCTTATGGTGTTACGCATGAAGTTGGTTCGTTCTCTGTTAGATATATTTAGTGTTCAGTCACAATAAATAGCTTCGCTTATCTTGTGCTCTTCGTAACCATCGATAGCTGAGCACTCTTCTTGCGGCTAATCATAAGACTGTTTTCTGATTGACTTTTCCACTCCATCCATGCACTTTGCAAATCAAGAGAACCAGATTATTTTCTTCAGCTGGTTAGGTGTTTTTTCTTTCAACTTTTCTATGTCATGCATCTGCTGTTGTTCAGATCTTCTTGTCGATTAATCGTCGTTCTCTCTTCAGACAGCCGGCGACATGATGTGGCTGAAAAGGCTAGTATTAGCACTCGATGAAATACGAAGTTAACCACAAAGATTTCAGTTAGCTAACTTTCCGTATTCAACAGTCCATTCAGTGATATGCTTCATATTTTGTTTGTCAGTCATTGGTTGTTCACTGCGTGTTTCTTTAACGCTGACCATGACTAAACAGAGGTGTTCAAACTGGTTTTATCTGGACAGATTGCAAAAGTCCCTCCCCGCTATGTAATGTTAGGCGTTGCTCAATACTGCCGTAGCGTTAGTATGTTAGTAAGTGCATATCTTTACATAACGGCGTTTCGCGATATGTTGGCACTGCATGATTGCTCCTAAATGCCTGACTGTCCATTTCACCACGTAGTGACATAAGATGTCGTGGCACTTGTGCGCAAATGCCTTTCTTGAGTTCGAGCTCTCATTTTTGGTGTTTTTCGAAATCTTAGGGAGTATTGGCTTATGGAACATCATTAGTGGGGGAGTTGTATATGTACATAGATACCTGTGGAACCATGACCAACTTAAATACGGCCTAGACATTTGTTAACAAGCTTCGAGTGAATGGTTCTGTGAACCTATGTTGAATCAGTTTCATTTTTGTGACTATCCGGAAAAATTGTGCATCATAGCATAGTCAGGTTTAATTCCTGTCAAGAAAGATATTAGTGGTTTTACAAGTTTGCTTTGCTTACGAGAAATAGTTCCTTGCAGCTTTACTTTTTAACAGCTGAGCAAGCTCCTTTCTTTCTAATTTCGATGTTTAGACAAGTAGCCATTGATAGGAAATTTTTGTCATTTTTACCTCTTTTCTATGTAGAACCTGAAGAAAAGATGACAGGGAAATATGTCGCCACTCTTTCGCCTGAGAAGGTGCTCGTTGCACACTCTGCTGAGGTGAAAAAAGTGGTTTGCAGCGAAGCCGAGGTTGTTCCTGACAGTAAAGGACACATGGACGAGGAACTGCTTCCTTCGGCGAAAAAGGACGAGGAACCGATGGACGAATCTATGGAAGGTATTTCATTTCGTTTTTCTTTGTTTTTTCTTTGACTCTTTCGCTTAGTTCCAAACATTGAGACGGTTGTGGCTGCAGAGGTGACCCAGCCTGTCGAAGCAACGACTGAAAAGGCAGGAGCAGATACGTATGCGGTTTTTTAAAATGAGCAGGAATTCTATTTTTTGTTTTTAAGGGTTTCTCCTGAAACTCCAAAAGAGCAAGAAACTCCGACACCAAGCAAGCGTAAGAGGAAGTCGCAGAAGTCTTTGAAGGTTCGAGTTGTAAAATTCTTGATTATTTATGCTTGTTATGATTTTACTACATATCTTAAAATATATCAGAAGTTCTTTAAATTTCAATTTTTGGACAGATATGGTCGAATTTGATCGCCTTATTGTTTAGAATGGCTGATCAGAATTTATCCGGTTTCTCTGTTCGGCCTCACTGTCCTAATGCTAGAGTATGACTGAAATTATATTTTTAGACAAATCTGTTGTATTAACGTAAATGCGCGTAGCGTCTTAAGAACTGTTTTAAAAATTTTTGTGCTCAAAAGTGTACAGAGTAAGGCCTGTCCTGATTCGTTCTGAATCTCATTTCTCAAGCTACCGTAGTGCATCGGCCAACACGATAACGGTCATGCTCTTAGCAATGACGCTAAAGAACTTAAATACTGCTATTTAATATGGCTGGATAGAACTGATCAGAAAAACTGCTAACGGAGCCTGTTCCAAATTTTGTGAACATTAGAACTATAATGAATAGATCAGTTTACTTGTGCAGTAACGTTTAAAATTCTATGCTATGTGCGGCTTAGGTTTATGCTTAGGCTTATTCATTGCACATAATGTAAAATTTTGAACACAACTGCGCAACGTGGAGCAATTTGTACAGACCCACATTTATGTAAATTAAAATGCATTTATGCATATAGTGATTTCTTTCACAGTTTACGTCTTTTTGTCTCAGCGCTGTTTTGACGAGGTTTCATTGGACTGATGGCGAAATGGTTTTGGGTCGATTCTTTAAAGCACCGCGGCTACAAGTTATTGTATAATAAGAAAAATCATGACGAAGCTGCAAATAAATTATTCATCAACTTTGCTGTTCTATGAGATAAGCGATCAGGAACAGTTAACGACAGATTTCTGTTTGTCGTTATGGGTTGTCAAGCTTTTCACATATGCTTCGTTCAGCGGCTTAAGTAGGCTAGTAGATGACTAGTGCTGAATGAGCAGGCTAGATTTCCCCATTTTTTTAGAAACTCGAACGCAGTTTTGTTAAAGTGTTAAGCTGATTATTCTGAAAGTGTTTTGAATATAGACTGTTTTGCTGTTTCGTAGATGAAAAAGTGCAATACATTATCAAACATGGCGCAATTCTTGTGGAATTCATGGAGCTCAGGAAACTGAGCATTAGTACTTGACAATCCTGCGAAGGGTGTATCAGGCTGCAGTACACATTTTCAGTTTTTGGAGGATCCAGTCGAAGTCACATATATTCTTCATGAAATAGCTCCAAAGTTGATTGTAAAATGTTGGAAATCAGTATTCTGCAAAATATAGTGGAATATATGCCTTTAAGTCAACGCCAATTTACAGCTAACTCATCTTCGGTTTGCTAATGGCATGGCGCTGTGAGAGAAACAAACAAAATAGTTGAAGCCTTGTTAAGCAGCGCAAATCAAAGCACAAGCAAAGCAAGCTAAATATCGAATAAACAAAGCGAAGACCAGTATAAGAAATGATCAAATGCGGTTGTGGTCAATGATTATCAGGTAACTGAAGTTACGAGATATATTCGTTTTGGAGAGCTAATTGTCTCGGTTGATTACTTTGGCTCAGAGCTCACAGTCACCCATCGTCGGCATCGAATGCGTGAAAATTTTGTATAACTTGCAAGAAACGTAACACGATCAAAACAAGTAACTAAGTCGAAAACCAGCTGTATAGATGACCGGATGCTGAATAGAGGAAAATAACGGCGATTCAGAGATAAATCATTAAAAAAAATGCGCTGGAGAAGAACTATGACGTTAGGCAGTGATCATTGCACAGAGGTAATATTGAGTAGGAATTAGATTATGGAAGAGCATGAAGGTTGATTTCATGTAAATAGAGATGGTGCCAGACAACAGCAGAGAACAGCAAGAAATCTTACTGAATCAGAGCGACAAAGAAAAAAGACTTCCAAGGATGAAGAGAAGCTGGGACAGGAGGCACAAGTAAAAGAAAAGAAAAAGTGGAAGCATGAACAAACAAGCAATACAAGGCAGTAGGCGCAAGAAAAGACGGTGGTAAAAGAAAGAGATCGGAAAGAAACACGAAGACGGAGAGACAAACAGAATATTCGAGCGAAAGGGCAGAACTTACAGACGAAAAGGAGACAGCAAAATAGTATATGTGCTTTAATATATCAGAAATCACGATAGCAGAAACTCTTTTCTTTACACTTTCTTCTCTATATTTCGTAAAATTTATATTTCTAATTTGCCTGTATAGATTTTGAACTTTAATTGTCGTTGTTTTACGCAGGAAACTCCGGGATCTATTCAAACAAGGTACAGCTTACGCAAAACAACTGTGCAGCAGAGGTAACCGTATAATATCTGTATGATAGTTATGACTTTGTTTTCTCTATCTAGTAAAGAAAGCGTCAAGGCGTATGAAAGTCCAAGCAGCAAAGGAATGAAGGTATGGAAACCTGTTGTACAATTGATATGTAGTTTTGTAAAAGAATTTTGTTTGAGCCCTGTTCTGAAGAAGCTGAAAGTTTTGCACTGCTGTAACTGAACATTTTGCACTACTTGTTTTTCCCATATGGAGTTATTGCATCTAACCAATGATTTTAGAAGTTTTTTATGGAGCATCCTTGATTAGTTCATCTATAGTCGTATGACTAGAAAAATGTCCTTCAAGAGGACTTAATAGGCCAAGCCTTCTTGGCGATTCCATAATTAAGGAATTTAATTGAAAGCGTCACGCTTCATGAATAGATTTAGGTGAAAACGGCATCTCTGTGAACAAATTCTTATGCAAGAAAGACATTTAACTGAGATTGAATTTAATTGTATGTCGCCTGATCTACATAAACATCATAAGTTGTTCTTACGCCGGAGTATGTTAGGTAACGCATGGCTCATCCAAAGACTAGATTTCGTGATAAATTGTACCCTCATCTTTGCGCCGAATTACTGATGGGTAGGGGAGGCATTTCATCAGGACACGGTTCCATGGTATTTGTGCACCTGCACTACTAGGCGCATCGCATTATTTGATCCGTCACAGCTACTTCATGTTCATTACGGATGATTTTTCCGGAGTTGGTGCTGCTTACATGCTACCGCATAAACATTAAGAGTTGTTAGTGCGCCGGAGTATTTGAGATTCAGCACGACGCTTTCAAGACCAGATTTCACGACGTTTGGCGCCGCCCCTTGCTCCTAGCAACTCCGAGAAGCAAGAGGCGGTGTGGTACAGAACGAGCTCTGTTTTTGGCGGATTTATGCGTTAGTCGCCTGAACTACTGCTATAGGGGTATTTATATAGGAAATACTGTTAAGTTCAAACCGAAACATGCAAACATTTGCTATGCATCAATAGTAGAGATGAAGGAGTCTTCCGCTGCAGAATACATCATCCTCAACTTCACACGCTGTGATGCAAGTCAAATTGCTGGAAAAGAAAACATCTGGTCAATGCGAAATCGCTTTTGCGAATTGCCGCAATAACGAAACGAACATACGGATAAAAATCTATGCGAATAGCTCTCCTATGACTACTTTAACTATCATCACCAGACTTTCTCAGTCTGCTACTGGTTGGAATCCTCTTTGAACCGTGTCCAGAATTTCTGTTTTCTGCAATTTTTATGAAAATTTTTCTACCAAACTTCTATAGCTCATCGTGTTTGTAATCTGGAGGTTTTTCCACAGACTGTTTCCTGTCTTTTGTAATCTAGCTTGATATATCTTTGGTCCACGATTTCAAGAACGAAATCGCACGTCCCTGTTTCTGCTTATATAAGTTCATTCGTGTTCTGATTTCTTTTTGTTGTTTTCATCACACCTTTCTATGCTGAGTTGCGAAGTTTATACTTTTTGCAAAGCTGTCCAGCTTAGGAACCATGTTTTGCCTTCTTAGGTTAGCCCTGGGAAACACGCACTGATCGAATACCTTCCTTTCCAAGCATATGACTAGTGTGCTAGATTGAAACATTTCCAGTCTTCCAAAGATGTTCATGCCACTTATATGTTTTTGTTATTTTCATTGCGTTCGTTCTCTCTATCAGGAATGAACTTTCCCAGACAGACATAGATGAAGTTCTGAATCCTTGTGAATATCATAATATGGTGAACAAACCGCAGGTGGATTAAGTATTGTTCATTTTTCTTCAATACTTGTTTTTTACGCGAAACTATTTTGAGAACATGTAAAGCTCCTTTTATTCGCTTAAAGGATATTTGACACCGTTTTTAATTTTCTATTTTGTATTTATTTTTGCTATGTTCTTGAAGATTTATAGTGGCCGTCACATTCTTGTAAATCATGGCAGTGAGCTCTCGGTATTTTTCTGATTTCCTGGATGAATTAATTAATCATAATACTTGTTGATTAACCTATTCACCTTTGAACAAATGAAGTCGCGTTTTCTACCTTTCAGTTCATATTCTAATCTGCTTTATCGACATTGCTATTTCGACGCAACTGTAATGAAAATTGATATTCTTCTAATTAAAGCCGTGACTATATCATCAGTCGGTGCTTGTGAAAGAAACGGGATGGAAGTGAAGTGTAAATACTCATCAGAAACGTTTCACAAAAATTTTTTAAAATTCCTGTTAGCGGTTGTTACTGCATGATAAGTTACAACCGAAGCAGTGCCAAGTTTTTACGGTTTTCTTTGATTGCTCGTTTAAACTTACCTTTTTACCGTTGTTGTATTTGATACATTTGTTATAGGGAGTGCATCTGAAGCGGCGGAAAGAAGTCAGCGACGTCGAAGAAAGGGCGCAAAAGAAGCGAAAGCGTTTTCAATAGGAACTTCTATTTGTGTATATATTAGATTATTTGGCATGTGTTAAACGAAACTTTCTCGCGTACTGTAATTTCGATATTACTCGTTCAAGAGGTTTAACTCTATTATAAATCCACATAGAAAGTTTCTGTAAATAGACTTAATGGATGCTTTTTGAAAATGATGATGGTGATGAATTACAGTTGTTTGAAAAGTGTAAACTACTGTTGATGTTAAGCCAAACAATGTTTCTTCAGGTTGTTAAGT